AGGGATGGCGAGGTCCCATTTGAGTCCGCCGTGGGTACCCACTGTGCTGGGCCCCCCCAGCAGGCCTCGAAAGTGGCGACAGTTTCACAGATCGCAGCCCCCCAGGGATGGCGAGGTCTAATTTGAATCTGCGGTGGGTACCCACTGTGCTGGGCCCCCCAGCAGGCCGCGAAAGTGGCGACAGTTTCACAGATCGCAGCCCCCCAGGGATGGCGAGGTCCCATGTGAGTCCGCCGTGGGTACCCACTATGCTGGGCCCCCCAGCAGGCCTCGAAAGTGGCGACAGTTTCACAGATCGCAGCCCCCCAGGGATGGCGAGGTCCCATTTGAGTCCGCCGTGGGTACCCACTGCGCTGGGCCCCCCCGGCAGGCCTCGAAAGTGGCGACAGTTTCACAGATCGCAGCCCCCCAGCTGGCACGCAGCGACGAGCGAGGCGAAAGGCAGGGGGGAAGAGAGGGTCGGGAGGGGGTGGGAAGGAGACGCGCGAGCAGTGCTCTATTCAAAACGAGAACCCAACGCAGGAGGGTTGGGAAATAGTCCAAAAATAGTCCGGGGACTATTTTTGGAGTATGTTTTGACCTTTTGGGGGCATTTTGGGGGGTATGTTTCATTCTTCGTCGAAAATCCCCCTGTAGAGGAACAGGCCCGACTTAAGGCCTGGACAACAAGACGCCAGGATCTCAGGGTCCCTCTTTCTCCTTCGGGCCTCGTGCCCAGCCTTCCCGTGCCCACCGCGGGCGTGCCGGGCTCCGCCGCCCCCCGCCGCAGCCGCATTTTGCGGACCCGAGCGGGCACCCCTTCTGGGCGCCCGAGCTTGCGGCCTGTCCCGGCACTTGCCGAAGGCCCGGTGGGAGGGGTCCTCTTTTCGGGGGCGGAAAAGAGGGGGGTGATGACTAGGGGGGGGCGGATATCATGGCGGGGGCCATGATTTTTCCCCAGATTTCATGGCGCCTCTTCTTATTTCATTACGTCCCTGGCCCCCCCGCTGGGCCGCGCACATGCCGCCAGTCATGATTTGCACCCCCCCCTCTTGGACACCCCCCTCTTGGCCGCTCACCAGCCTGGAACATATCCTTATCCCTATGCTGGGCACCTCCTCATCACGATGCCAATCTTAGGGATTCCCTCATTTTTTGAGGGCGGATCCCTAAGATTGTCATCGCCTTTTGGCGCGTCAATCTTAGGGATAGGGATACGTTCGAGGCTGGTAATTCTTTCTCCCGAGGAAGAAGAAACCGCATAAGCATAAACTTTTGGCGCTCCGCGCGGATTGCTTGGGTCCGCGCCGGAACCCCTTCGCGCTCCGGAGGCGCCGCCAGGGTGGCCCAGCGCGGATCCAAGAAAAATCTGCGCGGAGCGCCAAAAGCTTATGTCTATGTGGTTTCTTCTTCTTCCTCCTCCTCCTCCTCTTCTTCCTCTTTTTCTACTCTCATTCTCGCCATGAGGGTGGGGGCCCAGACCCCCTCGCGTCGTGACAGAATCACACTCGACTAGTGGCTTCCTGGAGTTTTTGTTGGGAGGGCCTTGGGGTGCCCTCGGCGGGCCCCGGGGCCGTCGACAGAACGGCTCGGGTCGGCGCGAACGAAAAGGGTACGGAAAGACAGGGTACAGTGCCCAGCAGCAGTTCTTGCTCATTCTGAGCAGGGCTCGCTGTCCGCGCCGCCGCGGTCTGTGTCCATTTGAGACAGGAGACCGCCTGCCCAGCAGCGGCCACCAGTAGTTTGGGACAACATTCAGTGTTGGGCCTTGTACCCATGTTTTCCGTACCCATTTCGGGCGTCCAAATCAGGAGGAGAAGCCGCTCCCGAGGAAAGGGTCGAGACCTCTGGGCGTCGACGCTGCGAAATCGATCACGACGTTGGGGGTCTTACACTGGGGGCCCATGCCAAGAAACACCTTGCTTGCCTCCAGGGTGCCCTGGGCTTCTTGGGTGTCGATGGTTCTGCGATGGAGAACGTGACGCTCCCACACCAAAAATCAATGGACGTCCTGGGATCTCAGGGTTGGGTCTCTTGTGGAAGGTTCCTTGTGGACTGGCCTCCACCGAAGGGGTTCTGGGGGCAACAGCTCCTGGAGGTTTCGAGCCCTTGTCAGGCTCCGCGGGCCTTCCGCGGAAGGCCCGCGGAAGGCCCTCCCCTCCCTACTTTCTTCCGCAGACGCGAAAGAAAGTAGGGAGGGGAGGGGATGTTAGACGTGTGTTGCCTTCTCTATACGCATGTTGGGCGCCCTCGACTCGGCAGTGCGCTCCTGGACGGGTCCGAGGGTCGATTCTGAGGATGGAGAAGGCGAGGAGGAAGAGGAGGGGGAGGGAGGAGGAGGGAATGGGGGGAGGAGAGGAAGGAGGAGGGGGAGGAGGGGGAGGAGGAGGAGGGGGAGGAGAGGAAGGAGGAGGGGGAGGAGGAGGGAGTGGATGAGGAAGACTGAAGGAAAAGGAAGAGGTTGAGGAGGAGGAGGAGGAGGAGGAGGAGAGAGGATGGAGGACTGATGATCGAGGTCTTAATACGGAAGAGGGAGGGATCTGCCTCCTCAGTCCTTCGTCATCCTCCATCCTCCTCCTCTGCCTCCTGATGAAGGAGGGTGAGGAGGGAGAATGGAGGAGGGCTGATGATGGAGAATGAACAAGGAGGGCGCGGGATGATCGATGACGATGGAGGCGGACGGAGGACGGAGGGATGGAGGACCGCAGTGGAGGTTGGCGGGGGGGGAAGCAGGGGGGAGGTGGGCGGACGAGGAGGAGAAGCCCGGCCTCCGCCTCTTCCTCCTCCTCTCATTATTGTTCCCTCTCCCGACCTTTTGGTGTCCCTGCTCCTCGTGCCACACCGCCTGCACACCTCCTTCCTCCTCCTCCTCCTCCTCCTCCTCCTCCTCCTCCTCCTCCTCCTCCTCCTCCTCCTCCTCCTCCTCCTCCTCCTCCTCCTCCCCGTCCTCCTCCTCCTCTTAACTCACTCTCTTCCCTCCTCCTCCTCCTCGTTCTCCTCCTCGTCGTCAGCCCACTTCTCTCCTGCAGCCCCTCCTGCTCCCCCTCAGTCCGCCTCCCTCTCATCCTCCTCCTCCTCCTCCTCCTGCTCCTTCTTTTCCTCCTCCTCCTCCTTCTCCTCCTCCTCCGCCTCCTCCCCCTCCTCCCCCTCCTCCCCCTCCCGCGAAGACAGCGGCGTCGGCGGTGGCGAGGACGGCGACGACGGCGGCGGCCACGCCCAGGCGCGCGCGCCCTCGCGCACGAGGAGCTTTTTCCCCGCCGCCTTCGTGCGCCCAGGCCGGGGGGGGCGTTCCGGACACTTGGTATCGCTCGGACGTGTGCACTTTTTCTCGGCGGGGCTAGGAGTGGGGGGAGGAAGGGCTAGGAGTGGGGGGAGGAAGCGGAGGAGGAGGAGGAGGAGGAGAAGGAGGAGGAGCAGGAGGAGGAGGAGGAGGAGGAGGAGGAGGAGCATCCCGGATCATCCTGCGGAAAAAACCACGCACGGGACCGAACAAAAGCACAGGGGATGGACGTCCGAGCGGTGGCCAGGACACGAGGTTCGGGCGCCGGCGTTGCGCAGTGGGGGGCGAGAAATGGGGAGCCTCGAGGCGGGGGTCAATGCAAGCCAGGGCTCGAGCTAAACTCGGGGGTGGACAGAATCCTCAATAGTGACACGTCGATTAGTGAATTGTCCGTTTTCGGTTCTCGAGAGGGCGCCGTGGCCGTTATTTTCCAGGCTTGCGCCCGCCAGGTTTGGGGCCGAAGTCGTTGTCACTAAACCACGTTTTACTAAAGGGAGGTCTGTCCATCCCCGATAAACGGTGTTTTGGCAATTTCGTTGACCGTTTTCGTTTTGACTTCGTTTTGCAGCAAATGTGGAACGAAGACAGAACTAGGGATGACGAAAACAGAACGAAAGCGGAAAACACTGCTTAACTCGAGCCCTGATGCAAACGGGGGTCAGCCAGGGCACCGGATCCTTCAGGATCTTGCGAAGACCCCCTCTGGCTGACCCGGGTCAGCGAGCCGCTCGTGGCCGCGAGGCGGCCGCACAGATTGGCAGACCCGGGTTTGCGAAGACCTGCGTTGCAGTTTTTCCTCTTGCATTGCTGTTGGTTTCTTGTTGGCCCGGGTTTGGATTGACCCGGGTCAGAAGATCCCCGAAGAAGGGCCAGAGATCCGACGCTCCAAACAACGGCAAGGTGCCGCTGCATCTCGCTCTCATGTCGCTGTGCTCGTTGCAGTGCAAAACGAATGGGAAGGGGCGGGCCAACAAAAGGTCGGAGCGGCGGGCTTTGGGCCGTGTTCGGCCTCAGAGGGGGCCCTCGCCGGGCCTCGGGACGTCACAGAAAGACTCGGGGCGAAAAGCCAGTCCAAGGGAAGTGGTCCAGACCTCCAGAGCCCGCGCGTCGAAAACATTGGAGCGGCCAGATGTCTGGGGAGCGAGACCCCCTCGCATCAGGAAAGGCATCACGGCGGCCCTCACCAGGCCTTGGTGCCGTCGAAAAACGGCCCAGGATGAAAACCCAGTCCCCCTGGGAATGGGTCGACTGGGTGTCGACGTTGTGAAACACATGCCGTGGGTAAATGGGGAGGTGAAGAAAGGTGCACCGCTTGTACCCTAAAAGGGCCCCAAAGGGACACCGACGGTGCTCGTTTCTGTACCCCCCCCCCTCACTGATCACTCCCCCATCAGTCACGCCCAGGATGGCGTTTTGCTTCCCGAAGACCCGGGCGCTGCAAGTTTCCCAAACGGGGCGTTTTCGCCCAGCTTCGGGCTCCGGGACAGTCACAGATGGATCCGGCCTGGAGAATGCAGCAGGAAGGTGTTTTTTTCGCGATGCTGCCATTTTCGCAACGTCGGGAAGTTCAAGAAGGGGTGAGGACTGGGGGTGCGCGGTGTGTGGATATCGGGGGCGGAAAAGAGGGGGGTGATGACTAGGGGGGGTGGATATCATGGCGCGGGCCATGATATTTCCCCAGATCTCATGGCGCCTCTTCTTGTTTCATTACGTCCCTGGCCCCCCCGCTGGGCCGCGCACATGCCGCCGGTCATGATTTGCACGTCCCCCTCTTGGACACCCCCCTCTTGGCCGCTCCCGAGGATACCATGGCCAGGGCCAGGCATTCCCTTCGGCAGCCACTGTGGCTCAGGCCGCGCCGCTTCTCTGGGCACGCGCCCCTGGGGTTCGTGGGCAGTGCGTTGCCACGGGGGGCCATGCCAGCTGTGGCGCACCATTTGCCGCTGGGCTTGACGACCAAGAACACTTTCCTGGACTGCCAGTCGCCATGGATCGACTACGTCACAGTGGGCGAGCGCCGCGAGCGCGCGACGTCGGACCCCACACACGACGCATCGCCCTCCCGCGTGCCCGCCAAGCTCCTCTCCCAGAGCAGCGGGGTCCTTGAAGGCCTCGGGTGCAGTCCCGAGGCGAGGCCGCGCGACCTGAAGCCGACCGCGCCCCCTCCCGAGACGAGGCCGCGCGGCGCCGTCACAGCGCGACCGAGTGCCGGCGCGGCCCGCGAGCTCCGAGCAGCAGCACCGCGGGGGAGCTCGCGCGGCAGCACCGCGGAGGGCCCGCAGCCCGCGAGCGAGGGCGGGGGGCCCAGCAGCTCGGAGGGCGAGGGGGCGGCGGCGCTGGACAAGCTCACCATCACCAGGACGCAGCGGCGCCGCCTGCAGCGGAAGGCCACGAGGGCGGCCCCGCCGGAGGGCGGGGGCAGCAGCTCGACCGCCGTGCAGCAGGGCACCTCCGCCGAGATGTCCTCGTGAGCTGCCCGCGTTCGGCGGGCCCGAGGCCCCGGCGGGCCGAAAAGGCCGGCCCGAGCTCCGCCGCCCAGTTCGCGGCGGCGGCGGCGCCCATCGCGTTGGCTCTCAGCGTTGGGGCACGCATTCCGCGCTCCGCGCGTGTTTCTTGGATCTGCGCTGGAGCGCGCTGGCGGCCCAAGACGGTCCCCAAGAGGGCCCCAAGACGGCCCAAGAGAGCTCCAACACTGCCCATGAGAGCCCCCCGACGGCCCACGACGGTCCCCAGAGGTTCCCAAAAGAGCCCCCAGGGAGCCCCAAGAGGGCCACAGAAGGCACCCTCGACGGCCCAAGAGGGCCCCAAGACGGCCCATATGTACACACATATATATATATATATATATATATATATATACATATATATACACCGCCCCCCGGCCCCGGGTCCCACACCTCCCCGCCACATGTCGGGGGCGTTCTCAATAACGTAGCCTTTCCGGGGAGCCTCCACAGCGCTCCAAGAGGGCCCAAGACGCCCCCCAGGAGCCCCCAGAATGCGAAAGGATGGCCCAAGACGCTCCCGAGCAGCCCAAGTCAGCCTTCCGACGGGTCTCGAGGCTCCCAGGTGGCGCCTCCAAGAGACCCCAAGAGAGGTCTGATAGGTGTCACGGGACAGCCCGAAGAGGCCAAAGTCGTAGATTTTCAATGTCAATGGTTTGGTCAATGTTTTTGGCTTCTCGCGTTTTCGAGCTTCCAACGGTCCAAGAGCGCCCAAGAGGCTCCCACGACCGCCCCAAGACCACCCAAGATCCCCAAGAGACCCTCAGGACGGCGCTGAGACGGGCCCAGAAGGCTTCAAGACTGCCGAAGAGGCGCCCAGCACTGCCCCAGACCACCCCAGAACAGGCCCAAGATGGGCCCAAGAGCGGGAGCAGGAGGCTTCCAGAGACCTCCGAGAGGCCTCCAGGACCCCCCAGAGGCCACCAACACGCCCACGATCCCTGAGAGGCCCCAACGAGACCCCGACGAGGCTCCAAGAACAGCCCAAGAGAGCTGCGAGAGCCGTCCCGAGAGAGCCCAAAGAGGGTAACATCGTGGATGTCCAGTGTTTTTTCCCATGTTTTTCGCCTTCTCACGTTCTGCCGCTTCCAACCCTCAAAGATCGAGGGGAGGGCTTCGGAACAAAAAACGAAGGAATTCCAAGAATTCCTTTCATCAAAGTGGAACTCCTACTCGGGGGTCCTACACATCCCCTGACATCTGGCCGGTACCGCGCCTCCAGGCTTCTTAACGGTTTCGCGGGGTCTGCGAAGGCCCTAAGGAATCCGGGAATTTTGGACTTGGGATAGATGCTCATCCAGTCAGGACTCAGGACAGAAATTCATGCGCGAACCAAGCATGTCCATCTCTCGTTCAAATGCCGTGTGGGATAAGTAATGCTGGGATATTTAATTGCATGGCGCTACGGCCCAGGGTAGCAGCGCCTTTCTCGCAGCAGTATCCAGCAAGCTGCAGCCCAAGCTACCGAAAAAATGAGCTTCCGAGCTTGCTCGCGAAATTCAGCGAATCGTTGAAAATTGCCGTTTCGCTCGAGACATCTTCGGACAATTGAGATGTTGAAACCGTGTGGTTCAGACGTCTTCTGTCAAAGATGAGGCTCTCGCTCGAGACATCCTCAGAACAATTGCATTCGCAACATCTTAGCTTGAGGTCCTGTCTCCTCCGTCTCTTCCGTCTCCTCCGTTTCTAAGGTATACTCAGTCTCTGAGGTCTCCTCCGTCTCTACACCGTCTCCTTCGTCTCCTCCGTCATTATCCTCCTCCTCCTCCTCCTCCTCCTCCTCCTCCTCCTCCTCCTCCCCCTCCTCCTCCTCCTCCTCCTCCTCCTCCTCCTCCTCCTCCTCCTCCTCCTCCTCCTCCTCCTCCTCCTCCTCCTCCTCCTCCTCCTCCTCGTCCTCCTTCTCTCTTATCCGTCTCTGAGGTCTCCTCCGCCTCCTCCGTCTCTGAGGTCTCCCCCGTCTCTGAGGTCTCCTCCGTCTCTGAGGTCTCTTCCGTCTCTGAGGTCTCCTCCATCTCTGAGGTCTCCTCCGTCTCTGAGGTTCCTGAGGTCTCTGAGGCCTCCTCTCCAGGCCTCCAGGAGGCCTCCAGAAGCCCCAGGGGATCTGGAAGATCCCACACCCCTGAGGGGCCCGGCTATATAACAAAACCCGCGAGGCACAAACAAAAAACAGCGCCGAACAGCGCCGAGGAATTGGAAACAAATGGGAATCCCACATTGTTGTTTTGTTTTCCAAGCTTTGCCCCCTGTCTACTCTTGCACAACAGAATTACGATCCCCTTCACCTTCCAAAAATAACTCAGGAAGCCTTTGAGGGTCCCAAGTCGTTGAATACCTTCCGCACTTCCCCTTCTATACGATTCTGAGGCTTGCGCAGGGCCTCCAAAGGAGTCCCTGGACGCAAGAAGCGACCAACATGATATTACATGAGTTAGCCGATCAAGCCTAGCTAGAACCTGAGCGCGCGCGAAGCGCGCGCGATGGTTCTAGCTCCAAGATGCCCAAGATGGCCCCCAAGACACCTCCAAAGGCCTCGCAGACGCTCTAAGAAGCCCCCGAGGGGCCCCCCAGGACGTCCCAAGAGGCAAAAATAGCCCCATTCCCGTCGCAAAACGTATATTTTTAGCATATTGCTTGTTTTCGCTGTCGTACCGTTCTTGACGACATCAGAGATCCCCAAGACCCCCCCCAAACGGCCCAAGAAGCGCCCCCATTGCCCCAAGACGGACCAAAAGAGCCCCAGGACGGCCCAAGAGGCGCCCAAGACGGCCCAAGCGGGCCCCAAAAGGCGCCCAAGAGAAGCCCAAGATTGGGAAATCCAACCGACAATTCGAGCTTTCCGCCAAAAGAGGCGCCCGGGAGGCCCCAAGAGGCCCCGAAGAAGCCCCAAGAGGCCTCCAAGAGGCCACCCAGACGCTGCAAGAAGGCGGACCCCCGAGAGAGCCCTGAGAGCCAACAATTGTTTATTTTCCGTAGATGTTCGAAGGATTTTGGTCATCTCGCCTTCTCGGGTTCCCGACGCTCGAAAGCAGCCCAAGAGGCCCCCAAGATCGCCCCAAGGAAGCCCGCGAAGCCCCCAAGAGGACGCCAGGACTACCCAAGAGGGCCCCAAAACGGCCCAGGAGGCGCCCAGCACGCCCAGGAGGACCCCAAAACGGCCCACGGGGGACTCCAGAACGGAAGCCCGAACCGACCATTCGAGCTTTCTGCCCCAAGAAGCCCCGAAGAAACCCGGAAGAGGCCCCCAAGATGCCACAAGAAGGCTCCAAGAGGACTCCCAACAGAGCCCCGAGAGCCCAAATTCGTTGATTTTCGATGTGTTTTTTGAAGAAGTTCGCCCTTCTCGCCTTGTCGGCTTTCCCAATCTCCATGCCGGCTCAAAGGGTCACCAAGACCGCCCCGAAACAGCCCGAGAAGCCCCCAAGAAAACCCCAATACGGCCAGGAGAGCCCCAAGACAGCCTACGAGCCGCCCAAGACGGCCCAGGAGGGCCCCAAGAGAGGCCCAATATGGGTGAGCCCGAACCGACAATTGGAGCCTTCCACTTCAAGAGGCCGCCCAGGAGGGCCCAATAGATTCCCAAGAGACCCCAAGAGGCCCCCGAGAGGCCCCGAGAGGCCCCAGGACAGCCGATGACGTTCGACGTACACCGTTCGACGAACGTATATCCCCGTGCACGAGGCCCGGGCACTCGGGGCCGCGACCCCGACAGAGCATGGGAGGACCAGGGTTTCCCAGACCGTTCCCAGAGCACCCCAGAGCGGCCCTGGCAGAAGTCCAGAAGTCCTTGGGGACTTCGGCAAGCCCTTCCAAGAAAGCCCAGATAGCCCCAACGTGGCCCAAGATGGGTTCGAGATCGCAAATCCACAGCCCAATCGGCTTCCAAGAGGCCTCAAGAGAGCTCCGAGAAGCATCTCGAGAGAGCCCGAAGAGGCTCAAATCTTTGATTTCCATTGATTTTTCCGATGTTTTTCGGTGTCTCGCGTTTTCGACCTCCCGGCGCTCCACGACAGCCGACGACGCCCCCAAGACCACCGAAAAGGCTTCCAACAGAGCCCCAAGACTGCCCCAGGGAGCCCGAAAATTGGCCAGGACGAGCCTCAGACGGCCCAAGAGAGCCACAGGACAGGCCCAAGCTGGGCTCCAGAGCGGGAGCGGGAGGCCCCAAGGCGGCCCTGATGGCCCCAACGTGGCCCTAGATGGGCCCAACACGGCCAATACACAGCCCAAGAGCCCTCCAAAATGTATGTATGTGTTCATATATGTAGGTTTATGCATACACACACATATATATTAATATATATATTATATATATATATATATATTATATATATATATGTGTATATATATATATATATATATATATATTCCTCTTCCTATATTTTTACGTGCCCGCGCGGGGGGAAAACCTGTCCCCCCCCAAACCAGACTCCCGGGATCTGGGGCTTTGGGGCCCTTCGGACGGGCCTCGAAGCGGCCCCCCGGGCCTCGCAGGGCGTTTTGCCAAGCCTTCGCAGCACACCTAGGGCGATCAGGGGGGTCATCGGAGACGTCCCAGAGAACCTCAAGACAGCACAAGAGCGCTCCACGAAGCCGTCATACCCCGAAAGATCGCTCCAAAACGTACCAAAAGACCTCCAAGAGCACCCCCAAGAAGGCCCCAAAAGGGACAACTCATTGATTTAATGTAGGTTTTTGGTGAATTGGGGGTTCTCCTCTTTTCGGCTTCCCGACGCTCCAAGACAGCGAGCGGTGTTCTGGGTGTCCGAAGTCGCCTGGGAGACTCCAAAAGCGCCCCGCAACCATCCGAAAGGGCTTCCGGGCAGTCCAAGAGAGCCTCAAAACGACACAACAGGGGTCCAAAATGGCCCTAAGAGAGCCCCATGGCGGCCCAAGATGGCCCCAAGACACCCTCCGAAGCATTCCAAATCGTTCAGGGAGACCGCGGTTAGAGGCAGGTTGGCCTTAGGAAGCCCCAGTGGCCCCAGATCACGCCCAGGAGGCCTCCAGACGGCTTTAAGAAAGCTTGAGAACTTTGGTGAGGCCCCCAGAGGCTCTCCAAGGAGGAGCCTCCGCAAAAAGAGCTGAGGAGGATGGGGAGAATGCCCAGAGGAAATATAAGCATGGAGGAAGGATAACGAACAACATCATTATAACGGCGATGCCAGAAAAAGGCAGCAAGGAGTTATCGCTAAATTGTCCGTTTGACCTTCCTGCCATTTCCGCCTGCATACCAATTTTCAAGGACCAAGGTGCATGGCGCGAAGCGCCACTGCAGTCTTGTATGTATGTATGTGTATATATACATAAAATGGGTCGGGGGTCCTGGGCCCCCCGAAGTGCACTGATTTGTCTTCTTGCCGTTTCGGGCCCGGCGGGGGGCGCTTAAACACGTCAAAGGGGGCCGAGAGATTTCCAAGAGGGCGCCTTGATGGCCCAAGAGCGCTCCAAGAGAGCCCAAGACCGCACAAGAGCGTCCCAAAATTGGTCCAACATGGCTTTGAAGGCAGCCCAAGAGGGCTTCAAGATGGCCAAGATGCCTTCAAAAGGGCTCCCACGAGGCACTCAGGAGGCGAAACGAGTAGGTGTCCTCAATGGTTCTTGAAGGTTGTTCGTGTTCTCGCTGTTTTTTGCTTCCCACGGTCCAAGACAGCCCATGAGGCCCCCGAAACCAGCTCAAGACGGCCCAACAGGCACCCAAAGAGGGCGCCACGACGGCGCATTAGAGAGCCCCAAGACGGCCCGAAGAGTGCCCCAAGGCGGCCCCAGAGGCGCCCAAGATCGCCCCAAGAGGGGGAACACGAACCGACAATTCGAGCCTTCTGCCCCAGTAGGCCTCCAGAAGGCCCCAAGAGGCCCCCAAGAGAGCCCAAGAGGCTCCCTAGAGGCTCCACGAGGCCCCACAGGAGCCCCAACAGACGCCCCACGAGCATCCGTAGCCATTTTGGCTCAAGGTGGCTCTGACTGCAGCGCGCAAGCGCTCATCATAGTTGCCCATCACCATGCGGACCCCGCGACCAGGCCCCTGGGGCTCGAGGCTGTTCACTTTTCCAAAAGTCCCCCCTCCCCCCGCGGTGCCCACCGTGTCCCTCGGAGTCCTTTGGGGGGTTTTCGGAGGGCCCGAAGGCGCTCCCCAGGCGGTTCAGGAGGCTTCCGAGACGGTCCAAGAGTGCGCCAAGACGCCCAAGATGGCTTCAGAACGGCCCGAGAGGCCCCCCAAGCGCTTGAAGAGGGCTCCAAGAGGACACTTATGAGGGCCGCAAGGAAAACACATCGCCCTAATTCCTCGTGGAAGCGTCGACTTTTGGCATATGCGACGGCCTCAGAGAACCCCAAGAGCACCGCAAGACATCCCAACAAGGCCTCCAAGACGGCCCAAGAAGCTCCCAGGATCGCCCCAAGACGTCCCACAGAGCCGTCCAAGACGACCTCCGTGGGCGCCTGTGGATCCCAGAGCGCTCTGAGACAGTCCAAGAGGCCCACAAAACACCTCACTCCGCACCCCTCCCCGCTCCTCTCAGATCGTTCCCATTCCTCCCAATCCCTCCTCGCTCCAGGCAAGTGTGCGCGAGGCGGTTGCGTCTCTGGCCGCGAGATCCTGCCAGTGCATACCTACATGTACGACCACCCTTCGGGTGATAAGGAGGTTGTGTGTGTGGTGGTGGGGGGGAGGAAGGGGGACCAACTGGAGCTACAACACAGCATTGCATCGCACAGCAGAGCATAGCATAGCATCGCACAGCATCGCACAGCACAGCATAGACGAGCATCGCGTAGCATAGCATCGCATCGCATGGCATGTCATAGCATCGCATCGCATCGCATATAAAAGCATATCATCGCATGGCGTAGCGTAGCATAGCATAGCATCGCATTGCACAGCATAGTATCGCATCGCATCACACCGCATAGTTTAGCATCGCATTGATAACATAGCGTAGCATTGTCCAGCATGGCATAGCACAGCACAGCAGAGCATCGCGTAGCACCAGCCACGGCGGGACACCGCGGGACACCCCCAGGCCACCGCCGGCCAACCGGGAGGGACACCACGGGACACCGCGGGACACCCCCGGTCCATTGTTGGCCAAGCGGGGGGCACAGCAAGATTTGGCCCGGTTTTGCCGTAAGCACAGATGGTTCTTTCCTCTCGCCTTCCGACGCAGCTTTGCCGCGCCCACACGCGCGACACGAACACGAAACCGAAAACGATTTCCTGGCGGGGGGGCTCCTGTTCACTTCGATCTCTTTCCCAACCTCGGATTCTGTCACACCACGGGACACCGCGGGACACCCCTAGGCCCTAGGCAACCATTGGCCAACTGGGGGGCGCAGCAAAATTTTGTTCGGTTTTGCCTAAGCACGGTGGGTTCATTCCTCTCGCCCGCCGACGCAGCTTCGCCTCGCCCACACGCACGACACGAAACCGAAAACGATTTCTTGGCGGGGGTGTTCTTGTTCACCTCGATCTTTTTCACAACCTCGGATTCAATCTGCTTGCTGCGGAGACAATCGTTTGTTTCGCTCCGCCTGGCCACTCCTCCCCCCCCCCCCTCCTACAGGGCTCGAGGACGGCCCAACAGGACCCCAAAAACGGCCCCGGAGGTTCCGGAGTCCGCCCACCCAAGAGGGTCCCAAGAAATCATCCCAACGGGATTTCAAGGGAGGGCCAAGAGAGTCCGCTGGGCCGTCTTTGGACGGGCTTGGGGCGTCTTGCGGCCGTTCGAGGCGGTCTCTGGCTCAGGGCGCCGTGGAGCCGTGGAGCAAAGTGCAGAGGGCACGATGCGCGCGGCATGGCAGGGGGGCGTCGCTTCCAGAGAACAGCAGAAACATTTCCCGAAAGCCAAGGGCTCCCTCGAGGGCGCGAAGTTATTCGCGCTTCGCGCTTCGCGGTCCTCGTTCCTTCTCCCCCTCCTCCTCGTCCTCCTTTTCTCCCTTTGGGGGGGCGGCGCGAGAGCGCGAAGTTATTCGCGCTTCGCGCTTCGCGGAGCGCGAAGCGCGAAGTTGGGAGCCCTAGGAAAGCCAGCAAGCGCTCTCACATGGCCCCACCGTGCCTGCGACAGGGTGGCGGAGATCCACTGTTGGCGTTCGAATGTTCAGAGAGGGAAGTGGTCGGCGCCTCAGCATGTGCGCCGGTCGCGCCAATGCGCGTCGGGCTGCAATGCTGGCTTGCAGGTGATGTCCGCTTGCGGTCAGCCCACTGAATGTGATGCATTCCTTTACTTTCAAGAACTGGTCGCTCCACCTTGCGCACGCATCCTTGGGCAATCGACCAGATAAGTGCGCGCGAGGCGGTTGTGTCTCTGGCGCGAGACCCAGCCAGTGCAGCTTCTTTCTGTTCAGCGCGGAGGCGATCGTTTCTTTCATTCCGCCTTGCGTGCACACCCGTGGGCAATTGACCAGATGAGTGCGCGCCAGGCTGATGCGTCTCCGTCGGAAAATATCAATGTCATGTCCTGTTGTTCACTCTTTTTACTCCAGGGGCAGCAAGGAGTTTCGCTACCCTTTGTGTGCGCACCCTTGGATTACTTACCAGGCGAGTATGCGCCAAGCGATGTGTATCTACCAGTATATCTAACACACACACACACACACACCGGAGTTCCATGTCCCCAGGGGGCCCGCCTCATTTCTCTATGGCGGGACCGGGGCTCCAGGACCCCCCGCTCCCGGTCCAAAACGGCCTCGATGGCCTTCAAGACGGCCAAGATGGCCCATGATGGCTTCAGAAGGCCTGCAAGAACGGTAAGATGGCCTCAAGAGAGCCCACGATGGCCCCAAGATGCACCCTACACGGCCCAATATGGGGTCAAGATAACTCCAAATAGCCTCCGAGGCGGCCAAGATTCCTCCAAGACATCCGTTGGGAAATCCCGAAGAAGCTAAATTTGTAGATTACCCATTTTGGTATGTGAAGATTTGTGCATCTTTTTTTGGCCTGTTGACGGTCCAGATGGCCCAAGAGGCTCCCAAGATCGCTCCCAGAGCACCCAAGAGGCCGCCACGATAGCCCCATGACGACCCAAGAAGCACCAAAGACGGCCCCAGGAGGGCCCCAAGACGGCCCAAGAGGACTCAACACGCTTGAGATTGCCTCCAAGAAAGCAACGAAGCGCTCCAAGCGGGCTCGAAGACGGCGAGGACAGGCCTCAAAAACGACTTCCGGCAGCGTCTGACGGGCCAGGAACGCTTCAAGACAGCCAACGAGGCCGGGGCAATGCAGAAAGATGGCTGCCGCGGGGCACGCGTGCACGGGTGCGCTGAACTCCTTGTGGGGCACGATCTGCGTGAAGGCTCGCGCGAACACGCCCACTGAGGCCGCAGGTGGACCTCCTTCGGGCACGCCCCGTGCCAAGCATGTTCCGAAATGGTCTCGGGGGCGCCATGCAAAGATGCCCGTTCTGGAGCATGATTCGCGTGACAGATGTGCCGACATGGGCGGGGGGGGGGCGTTGTTCGAACCTGCCGGGCCTTTAATTCGGTGGTGTTCCTTGTGGGTATGATCCACGTGACTGGGTGTACCTCCATGGCCGGGGGGGGCGCAGTGCGAACCTTGCTTCGGGGGCCGTGGGTGGAGATCCCGTGGGGCCACGATCACGATCCGTGTGCGAGGTGTGCTGAAGTAGGCGGGACGGCGAGATGCGAACCTTGTCTTTGGGGCCGTCCGTGGATGTCCTTGCGGGCCACGATCCGTATGAGAGGTGCGCCGAAGTGAGCGGGCCGATGTTATCAAGCTCCCCTCTGGTGCCGCAGATGCATTTAGTTGCTGGGCACGGTCCTCGTGAGGGGCGTGCCGCTGTGCGCACCTCGTCTCTGGGAATGGAATCACGTGGGTCTCCCTGTGGGACGCGATGCCTGTGAAGGGTGTGCTGGCATGGGCTTGGGGACCCGAGCCTGTCTGATGGGCCGCAGGTGGAGCCCCCTGAGGTGCACGATCCTTGTGACAATCAATGCCCTCCGACGCCGAACACGTTAGACTACAACTGGGGCTCGCTGGAACTTAAGCGCGCGAGAAGCGCGCGCGGTTCTAGTACATATATATATATAGTGTGAAATGATAAACGCTTCGCGTATCCCCATCAGCCCGTCCAGAAATAAGTCCCAGGGGAGTGGAGGTTATGAGGGAAGCGAGGGAGCATGCAGAAGAACAAAGGGCGGGGTCAGCCGCCATATACCCCGAGAGGGGGAGGACGTAGGAGGAGCCGTCGTCGTCGGAGTAGGAGGAGGAAGAGGAGGAGCAGGAGGAGGAGCAGGAGCAGGAGGGGGAGGAGGAGGAGGAGGAGCAAGATGAGGAGGAGGAGATGGAGGACTGCGAGGACGAGGAGGACGAGAAGGAGGAAAAGGACGAGGAGGAGGAGGAGGAGGGGGAGGGGGAGGAGGGAGGAGGAAGAACAAGAGGAGGAGGAGGAGGAGGAGGAGGAGGAGGAGGAGGAGGAGGAGGAGGAGGAGGAGGAGGAGGACAATGGCGAGCTTGGGGGCCTCGTGGGCAGTCGTTGGGGCCTCTTGGCGGTCCCGGGGGCCTCTTGGGAGCCTCTTGGGGCCTCTTGGGGGTCTCTTGGGGGCCTCTTGGAGGCCTCTTGGGGGCCTCTTGGGGGGCTCTTGGGGCCCTCTTGGGGCGCTCTTGGGGCGCTCTTGGGAGCCTTCGGGACGCTCGTGGGGCCATCTTGGATGAGATATATCAAAGAAGGGGGGGTCGTATATTCGCGCTGCCCCTCTAGAGTGCCTCGAATCGCCTCTGAGGCCCTTCTTGAGGCCAAAATCCTTCCAAAACCTAAGGAAAATCAATGTGTTGTGCTTTTTCGCTCTTGGAGCCGCCTTGGGCCATCTTGGGAGCCTCTTGGGGCCTCTTGGGGGTCTCTTGGGGGCCTCTTGGAGGCCTCTTGGGGGCCTCTTGGGGCCTCTTGGGGCCCTCTTGGGGCGCTCTTGGGGCGCTCTTGGGAGCCTTCGGGGCGCTATTGGGGCCATCTTGGAGGAGATCTATCAAAGAAGGGGGGTCGTATATTAGCCTTGCCCCTCTAGAGTGCCTCGAATCGCCTCTTGGGCCCCCCCAAGAGGCCAAAATATTTCCAGAACCTAAAGAAAATCAATGTGTTTTGCTTTTTCGCTCTTGGAGCCGTCTTGGGCCATCTTGGACATTCCAACGACCCGCGGAACCCCTCGTCCAGGTCGGTGGGGAGGGGTAAGGGGAGGTGTAAACCCCTCCCCGAAGGGAAATAAGGGGGTTGGCAGAGGAAACGCTCTAGACCACCTACGCACTAAAGGGCTGGTGGGATTATTCCTTGCTTAACATTCTGTACATCTATATATATATATATATACATATGTGTGTGTGTGTCTGTGCCTGTGCCTGTGTCTGTGTCTGTGTCTGTGTCTGTGTCGGTGTCGGTGTCGGTGTCGGTGTCGGTGTCGGTGTCGGTGTCGGTGTCGGTGTCGGTGTCGGTGTCTGTGTCTGTGTCTGTGTCTGTGTCTGTGTCTGTGTCTGTGTCTGTGTCTGTGTCTGTGTCTGTGTCTGTGTCTGTGTCTGTGTCTGTGTCTGTGTCTGTGTCTGTGTCTGTGTCTGTGTCTGTGTCCTGTGCCTGTGCCTGTGTCTGTGTCTGTGTCTGTGTCTGTGTCTGTGTCTGTGTCTGTGTCTGTGTCTGTGTCTGTGTCTGTGTCTGTGTCTGTGTCTGTGTCTGTGTGTGCAAGAGCTGGGTACCAGGGGCCCTGGGGCCCAGGCCCAGACACCTTCCCGGATCCCCCC